AAACACTCATAAATGCTTTACAAAATATGAAATAGATAATAAAACAAATTTCCAGGTCCAAATAAGGGCCTCCATATGCCTATATTAGGATAGAGGATTAAGTTATTCAAAATTGTATAGCTCTAGGTACCGTTGTTTTATCACAGTGCGAGAAGCATTCATATATTTATGCAGATTCTTCATTATTTAATTTCTTTAAATGTACTGCAGTGCGATAATATTTGATGGCAACAATTTGAAAAGTGAAACGCCGCAAAATGGCAAAACAAAATTAATAGCCCTTCTGAGCTAAGGCCCTTTGGGCTAAAAATTATTTTTAAAAATATCACACTAGTAGTAGTACTACTACTGAAAAAATATTATAAAACTATTTTATAGTATTATTATTTTTAATTTTTTTTTTTTTTTTTTACAGTGTGAATTTCGCATAATAATGAATGACATTCCTTATTGTGTTCACAATATTGTTCGTAAGGTATTCCATTGTTATATTTTAAAATAAACTGAATTCTTGCTGTACATAAATATTGAGTAGACGCTTCTCGGATATCTATATTTTTATTAACTGAAGAAGGATTTATGTGCTAGATAAATATTTATTATCTTCTACATTTTTAAGCTATATAATTACAATATATATCTATAATTTCAGGAAAAGATAAATAACCTTTCTTTCAGTAGAAATTGCATTCTTGTTTTCTGCATGTGGCTCTAAATACTCTCTCGGTTCATAGCAAATTAAAATAACTATAAATTTTGGCAATCTGAAATATGCAATGAAAACATCTTCTGGCAGAGCAAAAGCATCAACATATTTTCTATAAATTCGCCGCCGATTCAGAGATCTACAACGGTATTCTTCATTTAAATACGAAAAACTTAGGGGAGAAAACACATACAAAGCCATTGTCTACTTAGAACGTCAACTGGACAAGCCTGATTGACGACGGGGCAACACTTTTCCCTGCGCTTCTGACAACTTCCGTACTCAGAGAATACGTATGGGATGTCGAAAAGACCTGTTTTTCACTAGCAGCGACATCTGGTGACTCACAAACTGCAGCCGACTCTCGAAGCGTAGAATAGGTGTCCTGGATACAAGCCATGCCTTCTCCGCAAACTTCACACTGAAAGCTTCATAAATCACACGCCACATAAAGATCAACTTAAATCTTTTATTTTTGGCCAGGGCTGAAGCTGCAAATAATGTGCATGAAACACATTTGGTGAACAAACACAGATTTGATCTCCATCGCAGACTCATTCATTCAAGACAGGAGATCTCATATTTTATGACTGGCCAAAACAAGGAGATCACAAACTCTCCAAAATTCAAAGGACCATTTGTTACTGTTTGTCCTGTGGGAACAGTGTGCTATGAAATCAAGTCTTCATGACCACAGAACAAGCTTCTGAAAGCAGTCTATGCATAACATCTTTATTTTTATTTCAAGCAAGATATGCCAATCAATGAAGATGACATAAAGGAAGGTGCCTCAAATTAAACTTTATTCTGGCTGTATAATTTCATTTTGAGTGGAGCCATGTATAAGGCTCATGTCTGTATTTGTATCATGAGGACTTAAAAAAGAAATACTTGTTTGAATATATGTGGCAACCATAGTTTATTATTCGTTTGTAATAAAAAAAAAAAAAAAAAAAAAAGGGAATAACATTTTAGTTTACACAGTCTTCATTTGTGGTTTAATAAATTAATTCTAATCAATTTCATCTCTCCATTTCACTATTATTTTCAAGAGTACTTTCCCTTATAAACAGTCAACATACATGGTGTTTTGAAGTTCCAAAAAATGTTAGGCTATATACTACACAACAGTGATATTTGTTCAAGAACCCAGAAATGAAATTGTTTCTTTGCCTGGGCTTTTTGGCAAAAAATAAGTCTAGCATCTTGGATTTGTTTCGTTAAAAAATAACATAACTTTATTTACAATTCCACTCTTTATCAGGTATTTGAGGACTACATGACCTAGAGCTGAGATTTTTAAATGTGAGATAAACTAATCTGCCCACCCACTAATAGCCATGTATCGATAATTACCAACTCTTGGCAATTACCGAGACTAAGAAGCAGTAAACTTATTAGATATGATATTATGAATTGCTTGTGCATATAAGATTGAAATATACACAAAACATGATTAAACATAAAAACAATACTGAAAGGGGATTAAAGTAAAAAATATTTACAGGGAAACACAAGGTACTCCAAAAGTAATAATGGTAAAAATTCATTCAAAAAAATATAGACAGTAGCATAGTGTGGTTCTCAAGTAAATGCACAGAGAGACTTATTATTTCGCACTTAAAGATCTAACAGATTATTTAATAATGAACAGCATTTAACAGATCAGAATAGTTACATTTTGACTTAAAGTCACATATGCACAAAATCAGGAGGCTATTTGCCATCATTTGATTAGAATTACAACTGACACTTCTTAGATGCTGTGCCGAATATCATGCCACATCTGATGGCCATTATACTGAACATTTATAACACTAGTTCCATTGCAAACTATGCTTTACCACTGTGTGAACTGTTGACATGGCTAAAACAAAATCTGTAGGTAAAAATTATAACTATACCGATCTTTCATTGCCAAAACCACATTATGTTGCTGATTATAATTTTGGAATTTTTACTTTTACTTTTTGATCACCCAGTATATATTTATTCCATAAGTGAAAAATAGTTTGTACATTTACTATTTTATTTATTAAAAAATATTTAACGAATTTAGAATGCATAATTCACGGTCTGACTTCTATTAATATTCATTGTTATTAAAAGTCAAAACACTGGCAGTATTAAAATAACAAACATTTGAAAATTTATAACATCATGCATTCATAAATTGAATGTACTATGAAACAACTATCTTTAGATTAAACTGGATGAACTATACATTGCATCCATAAAAATAATTATGTGACCTTTGTTTTTCCTACTATTAGCTGTAACTTATACTTTGAATCAAAAAGTGCTTTAGCCTGCTCAGGAATTCGCATATGTGCGATGCTGCCAATTTGGAAAGGTATTACCTTTCTTGATGCATGATGCATCTTACTTGCTCGGTGAAGTAAGCCATCATTGTTCCGTGTGTCGATTCTAATTTTGAATTTACCTGCAAATAATTACTGCTTAATTTTCTTTTACATTTCGTATTTGGAAATTTGTTTTCATGTGTATAGTACTTGTTTTCATGCCTATAATTATAATTTTAGTATTTTGCATGTTTCATTTATTTCTATTAATGTGATATTCTTTATTTTAACACATATTTATAATTAGTATATTAAGTATGTACTTCAAAAATTGAGGTCATTACATTCAAATGCTGATTTTATATGAATTTTTTTGTAAAAGTAGGCTTAACTGCTAAAAATGCATGGGCTAGTGGCAAAGTTCCATTTCCGAGGGTTCGGTCCCATAGCTGCACTTCGTTCTCCATGCTTTCCTCAAGGAGTTAAATGATGTAAATATTCATGATTTTCATTTTTTAATTAATAAAAAATAATTTCAAAAAGTTTACAAAATCTAACTTTTACACACCTGATCCCTAGGAAATTCCCTTTAGGAAAATTTTATACTCATTATAAAAAAGGAAGATGCACAAATTTTGACTCATTTGACAAAAACTGATTCAGATATTTCTTTTAAAATGTTTGGTTTTTTTGACTTGCCTTGAACAAACAGTTGATTAATAAATAAATTAAAAAGAGAAAATTCAAAGCTGATTTTTCTCTCTTTAGATATAGATGTCAAAGATGTTCTTTTGCGATTTTATAGTACATAACATTCTTTAATTTATAATTTTGTTACAACCGGTACACCAAAAGAATTTTCATATAAGTACCCTAAACATTTCAAATGTTAAAAATAGGTTTTTTAATATTGTTAGGAGGTTTTATTACTATAGAAGCATAATCTAATAACCATACACAAAATTCATCAAATTAAAAATATTTTTAATTTATGGAGTTGGGCTATGTGTACTTGCCAATGTTTTCTAGACCATGAATTCTACAAGATTCTGTGAATAACATCTTGTTTTTATCACAAAAAAAAAAAAAAAAAAAAAAAAAAAAAAAAAAAAACCCCTGATCAATAATTTTCACAATAATTTGCAAAGAAACACTATGAAATTAATTCGAGTATCAGATACCTTTACCTACATTGATATTTTATCTTTAGTTATGCACAAATGCAAATATTTTGTTCTCCAGTTTATGAACAGCTGAGTGTGATTTCAAGCTTTAAAATTAAATAGCTTGGTCTTCTTTTTTTGTATTTTATTTTCATAACAAACGTAAACTTTTCTAAACACAACTATCCAAAGCAGGGTCACTATATGAAAAATTCGACTTTACAATTTAAATTTAAAAAAAATTAAATGAACAAACATGAGTATTTGCATTATTTAAAATACTTTTGCAATTGAAAGTATAAGTTTATGATCAATAGTTTCAAAAATAAAATCATCATAAAGACTTTAGTAGACACACTATATATTACAAAATATGTGATGAGTATCTACCAAGGGGATAAATGACTTCTTATTATCTTCCTACAAAAAAAAAAAAAAAAAAAAAAAAAAAAACCACCATCCTATATTTATATCCCACATAGGGAAAACCATGAAACTTGCTTGCAACCAGACTATGCAACTGAATACTGAATAAGAAATCAGTGCTTTAGTATTTTTTTCTTTTCTTTTTTGTGATTTAACTATTTGGGCACAAGCAATGTAATAAATCCAGTTCTTATAACCTCATGCAGCAGCTACATTATAATTCTCCAATTTATTCTAAAGCCACAGTGATATCAGGTAATACTACTGTTACATGGCAACACATAATTGTGATCAATTTGTTCTGATTTCTACAGTTAAAAACACTATCTAAAACTACATTTGTGAGCTACAAAATACTTTGAAATCTGAATGAAAAAAGAAAAGCATAAAACATAATAGTACCTTTTTTTCCCACAGTAAATATTACTGATTGAATAAATCACCAGCAGAAGGTAATGGTGCAAGTCCTCCTGTAACACTCGGTAAAAGTGTTAGGTCAGGTAAGTTTTGAAGGTGTGATTTCAGCTCATTTCGAACTTGGGACACTCGTTTCAACTGTTCTTTGTATTCCTAAGATAAACATGATTTAATAAAATAATAGTCTAATCTTAGTAATGGTTTCAGATAAAACGTTATTTAGGATTATATTATACATTTTAATGAAATAAATATCATATGCATTGTTGAAAATGATGTAAATTAAAATGCTATTTTTTTAATGCATGCTGATAATGAAAGCTGTTAATTTTTAAAACAATTGTTAGAGAGCGAAGACTTAAAACCGAATAGCATCACAAAGAGAAACAGCAATAACTATTCATAAAATATGGTTGTTTGCAGCCGTTTACCAAAATTCATATCAAGCAACATAAATAATATATCAGTTTATTTCAACATACATTTTTCATTAAATCTAATTAATCATTAATATTTTTGCTGTTATTAATATTAACTATATTCCTTCCTAACTTACAAAGGATTTTCATCACTAGATACAGGAAAATATAAATGCACATTTCATGTAGACTGAATCTGATACTGAAATGAAATTTACTGAATTAAATTACTTTCTAAGCTTACTAATGCTAAAACGAAATATCTTACAGAAGGAGCCACTTAATGTGATCATTCACATAATGTTAATGAATTATAGAAGTCCCACCCATTTGTAGACGAAAACATGGAAAATAAATTGCTAATTGTGATCAACAAATCGGCTAATGTTATAAAAATATTATAGACTGAAGTAAGTCACAAAATTAGTTAGAAATGGAGTGTAGAAATTGCCAAATAATAAAGACATGCCAGGTAAGACCCTATGTAGCCAAGCAGTCTGATTTTGACTCAAGGCAACCATGTATAAAGAAAGGCAGATGGACTGGATCAAACTGTAATTAAAAAAAAAAGTGATAAATGGAAAAAACTGTCTTACAAGCACTAGTTAATAGTAGTGGAAAAGTATATAAACCAAAATGCAAAAATTGCAAATAAAAATTATAGCAACATCATACAAAAATTACCGAAAAATGAGTTAGCTAAATCCAAGGTATTGAGTATTTACATATAATAATTTTTAATTCATATATGCATGGCAAGGAAGAGACACAATGTCTGAGTAGTTGGGAAGAGTATAAAATAAGCTAATTTCCTCTTAACAGTCAGTATGACTGTTTCACTACCTTTTTGATTGCTTATTTTTCAGTAATTTTCTTTGATATTGTTGTAGCTTCTATTTGCAATTTTTGCATCTCAATTTATGTGCTTTTCCACTACTATTAGCTAATGATTGTAGGACAAGTTTTTTCATCTGTCACTTTTTCTTTTACAATTCTTTTCAAAATAATTCTACCTTTTGGTTTTCATAAAATCAATTTTTATTTTACCTTTAGTTTTAATTTTTCTTCCTTCCCTTTTCATACTGTCTTTGTAGATTGGAATTTATGTAATCTTCAAATTGTATTCTTTGTTTTCTTTTCTGGCATTCTTAATTTTTTCTTTATTTGAACTTAATAGAATTTTATTAAGGGTGTCTGCTGAAAACATCGCGGAGAAAACAACAAGGCAAAAACGTCATAGTACAAAGCATCGTCAGAGAAAAGACAGCAAAGAGAAAACACCGCAATTCGTGGTTGAATATAAAGCAGTTAAAAAACTTTGCAGTTTAAAAACATCGTTTTAAAAAAATATTGCAGTAAAAAAAAAAAAAAAAAAAAAAAAAAAAAAAAAAAAAAATTACTGTATGATGATAACATTGCACATATGAGCTTTTCAGTTTTAAAAGTTGTAAGTGCAATGGATTTAAACAGTGAAGTTTTTGAACAGATTTATTTTTAACCATGATATGTTAGAACTGTGATGTTTTCCCTTTGCTTTCTTTTCTCCCATGATGCTTTATACCAAGATATTTTTGCCTTGTGTTGTTTCCCCTATGACGTTTTCATCCGCAATGTTTTCGGCTGTAACCTTAATCCTCTGGCTGCTGATCCTGCGACTTCCATGGGCAACTCAAATGTAGCAAAATCTTCTCATCCCGTGGCCATTTTTTTTTCTTCCTTTATTAAGGAGTGCATCCTCAAGTTTGACTTGAGATTTCATCCTGAACATTACGCACTTTCTTTCTATGCTTTGGTTTAGCTGGACTGCTGTCTGTCTGCTGCCGCTTTCTTGTTACAAATCTATCAAAAATGTAAACTTTTGGAATAGGCACATTTAATGTGCTGACTTGTGCATAGCTGCAACATGCTGCTGAAAATAAAACTGAAGATTTAATTTGCCTTCGCCTTCAATTTCCTAGTCATTATGGATCAACACTTCTATACCATCAAAATTCCTGTTCCTGAATATATTACATATATATATGCGTGTGTGTGATTAAAAAAAATACAAAAAAATGTAGTAGCAAATGTCGTTTGGTGAAGCACATAGATGGCATATTGAAGAAGAAGAATTTTGTTGTGGAAAATGCTCATACATAATGAATAGGAAACTTGGCAGTGGAAGCAGATTAAATGCCATTTTTATTTAAATTCATATTTGTGGCTGCAATTTACTCGACACTCTAATTGTGCCTATTTTCAGAACATTAATATTTTTTTAATACTATTGCGATAGAAAGAGAGTACAATGAAGTGAAATGGCATACAAGTAGCACACAGAGAAAAGCTAAAGATGCCCAATTATCCAACATGGAAGCTTACCAAGAGAAGGTTTTGATTTAGAAAACTTTTCTAAAAGTTTCAGTTCTCAAAATATTAAATTTAAGTCCCCAGTTAGCTATGTCATCAGTGTAACGCAAGCCATGTGATGTATATTAAATTAGAAATGGCGCAGTTCAGAAATGTTATTACTATTTTTTTAGAATAAACAGGAAATACCCAAATTAAAAATGAGGAATTAAGAAACTATTCTTGAATTAAATACTAAAGCTGATTTACATAATTTTTATCTTTCACACACACATATGTAAGATATGTATATGTAAGATAAAAAAAATGCAAATCAAAATTATAATTTAAAATGCCTTTTAATTGCTCATTTTTATTTTGGGTACTTTGTCTCTAGTAATAACTTTCTCTAAACTGCGTCTTATCTGAAAGCATATTCCGCATTAAGCCATCTTGAAACTTCTGCATTGCCTGTAAGTTTTAGACAATCAGATTTATGAAAAATTTTACTATAAATATTGTTGCAATCCTACCCCACCCTCTTTCTCATATATCAGGCTTCGTAGCCACATTTTAGTTAAAAAAATAAGCACCTATAAGCACTTTTCAAGTACATTTTAAGGAAAAAATAAGCACCTGTCTAATTACATTACATACAACTGCATAACCTGAAAAGAAAAATTAGACTTGTAATTTAAAATATGAGCAATGCAATATTTATTAAGAGAATGAGTATTGGAATTTCAGTTCAAAATATAGAAAATAAATAACAATAAACCATATTAATTGTATTCGTTTGGAACCTAATAATAAATACAATTTATTTTTCCACTCATATTAATATTTAAATAATTTAACTTAAATCAAAATTCTGAACATTTTCTAAATTTTCATTGAATAATAGTTTTCCCTTAACATATATTCCAAGCAAAGTAATTTAAGTAAAAAAAGAGGCACATTTCTGAAATCAGAAGACAGGAAATTGGGCTCATGCAGCCCATCCTTTAACAGTAAAAGCTTAATTAACCGCATACTTGGAAATTGACAATATTCCGGATAGTAACTGAAAAAAAAGAAAAAGAGAGGAGTGGGAGAGATTGTAGCCGTTCTTTAGATTTCTCGGCTAAATAAATGATTTTGACATTTCGATATGTGCATCATATAAAAATAGACCAACGGAACTGAAAAATATTCTGATTAGAAAGCATAATAAAACTCTTTTAAGTGTCCATAAACAATTCTCGGACTGAACATCAAAATTAATTATCTCTGCAAAATACCGCAAACGTTATTGTGCAATACATGTGGGGTTATTCTTCCACATGTGATATTACGCATTCGCAATCAATAGCTGCCAGTATTCGGAGAATAAAGAACTAAATAAAGGAAAAGAAAGAGACTTACTAATCTGGGGTGTTTCTGATTCTAATTTTCAACCGACTGCGTTAAATTTCCGGAATAGAATCAATCTTCGCTTGGGTTGGGTAGACCGCAAAACTTTTAGTCCTATTCAATCCAGATTGGACAGTGACAAAAAAAAAAAAAAAAAAAAAAAAAAAAAAAAGCCTGCTGACTTCAATATTAGAGATTTTGCGGAGGAAGGGGAGAACCTTCGTACTGTATAATATATTGGCAAAAAAAAAAAAAAAATTTTTTTTGACTTTTACTTAAGCCATTCCGAATATTATTCCTTAGAAATCTAATCTGTGTAAAAACACACCCATTTTTGGAAGTTTATCTATACTTCAGCAGTTATTGCAACTATATTATTATAAATATTCATTCATATGCTCGTACTATAAGCATAATGATCATAATGAACACGAATATGAACTGACCACGTGGAACGAGAATGCAAATTATTAAAATCTTGATAGAAATTCAAACGAGTGTAGTATTTGGGTGGGAGGAAAAGAACACAGAATGTACCGGAATTTTATACCCTTTTTGCAATTCTTTGACCAATAGAACGACGTGCACCAGTCTGTACTCTCGCGCGCACCATAGGTTACGTTAATGCAGAGAAAGGGGGGGAAAGCGATTTTCGGGAGTATGATTCACCATCTGACGTTGCATATAAGAAAGAAAAGTTGTTTATTTAGTTTGGGCTTCGGTAAGGGGAAAAAATACGCATTCATTAAAAAAAAGCACTAAAAGCAAAAAAAGAGCACTAAAAACAAACAAACAAAAAAAAAAAAAAAAAAGGGCTTTAAAGAAAAAGCAAGCACCTATAAGGACCTTTATATTTTATTTTCAAATATAAGGACTTATAAGCACTTGTAAGGACAGCTACGAACCCTGTATATACATGCTTGGTGCAGCAGATTGCAATGAAAATAGGAGGTGCACAACTATATGTTATAGCAGTCCCATATACAAAATTTTAACGTTCTACAGCTATTCATT